ATTACACCGGTATTACCGTGAACGGTATGATATTGCCCAGCCCTACTGACAGGCATGTCTTCAGACTGTAGGGAAAAACTGAGCACAAACGGAGAAAAGGCATGCAGGCACAGGGAGAACATGAACACTGACATAGAAAGGTTTCAACCCAGTTCGTTCTACATTCTACAAAGACCTCGGTGGGAAGATACGATTCTATTGTCTGCTGCACTTTGGTCATCCTGATGTGCTTGTTTGTATTCATAAGATAATTGTATCATAACTGGTTAGCTTTCTTCACTTTGGAAAGTTTTGAGTTGCGTAACTCAGTCTGCACTGTAGGACAGTCAAAATTCTCAGTGAAAAGTTCAGTGTGAAAGTCTGCATAGAAATAATTTTTAGAGTTTCATTTGAATGTTCATGTAAATATGTGGACTTTGAGAAGTTGTTTAATGCTAGCTGGGCAGCATAGTGGCCTCACAGCAAAAAGGTCCTCAGTTTGACTCCACCATCTATGTGCATCTATGCAACTCTATGTAAGATTTGCACATGGAGTTTGAGTGGGATCTCTCCAGGTACTCCAGCTTCTTCCCATGGTCCAAACATGTGCAATTAGTTGGGTTAGGTTAATCGATGATTCCAAATTGCCCTGTGACAGACTGGCAATCTGTCCAGGGTGCTGACTAAAACGTTCAGGAATGAGACGTGTGAATATGTTCTTTTCTACTCTCTGCGCTAGTGTCTCCTGAAGGAAAGTGTCCAGCTGCAGGAGCGCTTCAGTCTACTGGAAGTGAAAGGGGACCTGCTAGACTCTGTGTTTGGTCCTGAGAGGTCTGATGGACTGCAGAGCGAACTGAGCACTGCCATGAGGAACAGAGAACTGTTGCATGTTCAGCTGCAGCAGAGGAAGAGCAGGCTACAGGTATGCGCGTGTTGGCGTCGTCCACTGAGCTTTGTTTTGTCTTAGGTTTGAGTGTCAGTCTATTCAAGCTTTACCGTATCCCTCAGGCTTAAAGAAAAGACCAAGACAAACTTTTTGGACTTTTAAACTGATCCTGAAATCATTAACAGGTCATGTTTGACAAGAAATGCATACAGAGAGCGATGAGAAAAGAGGGCGGAGTTGTGCAAGAGGCAGTCTAAAAGAGAATGTGACTATCAAATCAGTAAATATTTTCAGAGGCTACATAACAATCACGGGTTTGCCTTTTGATATCAGACTATGGAACGATAAGTAACCTGGCAACTGTTTTGTAATTAGTTCGTGTCAGTGAACAGACAAGATTGTCTTGGTGAATGCTCTTCTGTCTCTCTTTGCCCATACCAATCTTATTTACTGCAGTGTAACAACAACGTCACTCATTAGATTTTGTGCAACACATGTGAGCTGTCACAGTTTAGAAACTGAAATCATCAGATGCATTTACTAAAGTGTGCATGAATGCATTCTAGTAAGTACATGCAGGATCTGGTGTAATTACCAAAGTAGATACTAAAAGCACTGTAAAAGCACTTGCTGTAGTGTCAAATCTTGGACTTGGTACTCAATGTTGTGTTCATACTATGGCTCATTCAATAAAGTGTGTGTGTGTGTGTGTGTGTGTGTGTGTGTGTGTGTG